CAAAGTTCATTCAATATCTCTTCCGACATGGTATTTCTAAAAAATGTCTATAATCTTTTCAAAGTGAAAAAAGCTCTCTCGGATTCTTTTATATAGCACATCCAGCTCAGATTTCAGTTTGCTAGCTCACGAACGGAGAGAACTGTGAAACGCGATCAACCTTTTGTAGGGGGAATTTTTCTTGATATTCTTGGAACGTTTTACAATCAAAGAGAGAACACGTGGATAAATTGCCCCTAAAATTACCCCTTTGAAATTTCCGTACAAAAGAACGATTGCATTTCTATCAGATTGTAAAATTTTTATATCAGGTGGACCAATTCTCTTCATGCACAGCCTTGTATCATAACCACATTGTTTTCAGGCATTTTACAGAATTGCAAACCATTCTCAATGCACAATACGAACTGGACGCAAGGATCGGAATAGAGCATTCACATAGTTTGTCTACGGAGCGGAAAGATGATGCCGACCAATCCGATTGCACACTCCTGCCTGCACTGAATGCTTGAGAAAAAGGAGATCAGTTAAACAGAATACCAGCAGATAGTACTGGCCTGGATATATACTCTCTGGGCCTGGACGTAAATCAAGCGAAAGGAATATTGTAAGTTTAAAAATCGACCAATAGATAGCGCCGGGCAACGAGGATGCTACCTCCCCTATCAGGCTGCTGGGCGGCGGCCGTCACAAGACGCCATTTGCCGAACATACGTTGCCATTTGAGCACTCGTCGGCCACTTTTATGTCAGTACGTTCCATAACATCACTGCGTGTAGGACACAGAGGCGAGTGTCCGCAGCCAATGAAAATCGTTCTACGGGACAAGCGGGAGTTTGAAAGCTAAAGATGCGTTCGATTCGAAAACAACCCTACAGACCCACAGAGATTATTTTAGACAGCGCAAGAGAAGAAATACTGATCTCAGTGCGGGGGGGGGGGGGCAGGGTCCCTAGCGCCTCCCTGCCGCAGCCGCCTCTGGTCAAAGGCTGTGTTGCCGACGTTTCGACTATCTTGTCGTGGTCTTCCTCAGGGCTAGTGTATGCCGTGATGGTCAGCGCTCGGGTGTATATGCATGTGGGCTTTGAAAATGGTTCTAACCTAGAAACGCTTCAGCAGTTTGCCAATCCTGTCTGTTGTGTCCCGGATGTTCATTTAATATGTTTACTTTGCTTACAGAGAATGATGTAACAAAGTATATGCATTCCCAGCCATTCAATTACGATGATTGTAGTATTACACAAGATTTCCGTGTTTTGCTCTATAACTTGCTATGGCAAAACTAACGGGAACCGCCAATTTCTCAGCAGAAGAGAAGGAAATTATGTGGACTACATCCACAAGTAGAAGATGATAACGAATGAAAAAAACTGATGCAGCAAATCGCGTAAAGCAGAAGCATGGACTTGACTAACAAACGAGCACAAACGGCATTTCCAGGCTTTCTAATTCGTCATCTTCCAACATGTATTGTAGAGCTTTCTCCATTTTTCTCGAACTGCTCTGTGGTCACAGAGCACCCACAGCTTTTTTGTCTGTGGCAGCGCTGCGTAACCAAGCGTTAACTGCTGCTAACGTACTGAGATCGCGCGTTAACTTTAACGGAAAGTTAACAAGCGTTAAAGTTTGGTGACACGCGTATTTTTTCTAATGGGCCGTTAAAATCGCCTATCTTCTCATTAGCGTGTTAACAAGCATTGGTGAAACCGTCTTTGGTGCATCAGAAATTTGAGATAAAGGCCATTAAGTTGACTCTTAACATGAGTTAACTTTTAACCAATGATGGTGCACTTAGTGCCGAATAACAGCAAAAGAAACAGAGAAAGTGAGTGGAAGCAATTTCAATAATTTTGTGAACAAATAGCATACAAATTGACAGCACAAACTACAACTGAAGAAATTACACACATTTTGAAAAGATTGGGCAATTAATATGCGAAGATTAGATGAAGTGTACAAAGATTTTTCTATCAAGACTGGAACGCTACAGACAAAACTACACGGAAAATAGTTATTAACGGCATTGGGCCTATAAACACTAAATAAAAGACGCTATTGAAGTTTGTAAAACGAGGCGAAAGTCGAGGTTTATAACCAACCAAGTCTGTTATTTGTGATATCGCGGCCTTGTGTCGTTCATTACTTTTCGTAATATCATCTTTGTCGAGGCTGCAAACTATTGCTTGGATAAATTGGGAGAGCATTATCAGAAACTGCAACGACCATCGCTTTTTCCATTGAAAGTTCTCATCGGAAGTGTATTCTGGAAAAGAAACGACACATAATTGACAAATATTATTACTTTGCCGAAGAATCAATTGAAGAGATGAAGAAGAGATTGAAGATATAGAAGAGATTGTCATGGTTACCTCCGTACACGATCGCCACGAAACTGCTCCCGGCTCCGCTGATTTTCATGACAATTCGAGCTCGGCGCGTCTAACGTCGAAAAAGTTGGATTCCGAGGAATCGTGCCGTGAAATATTTTCGTCGCGGTTGCCCAGGAACTAATGCGGTCTTTTGGTGGCTATTCGAACTAACAGAAAGCAGTCGACAATTAATGTCAAAGAACTTTGTTCGAAATAATGAGTATTTGGTCAACTGGTAAGGAATCCGCGCGGCTTTTTTGAGCCAAATTAGACCATCTGAGCGGGAAGTTTGAAATGTATGATCTTTCCTTTGAAATGCCTTCAAAGAGCAGGGAAACAGGGCTGTTTGAAGCGTGTCGCCAAATATGAATTAATTGGGCGGTCAATGTGACAACAAACTTCATATAAGAAAGAATATTATAAATAAGAAACGGCTTTGCTTTTAATACTTAGGAGTGCAATGCCATCTTCTATTTCAAATTATACGATTCTTGCTTCAGACGCGTCAGTTACAAGAAGAGCAAGATTTTATCGTAAGAACTTATTAGAAATTATTTGCTGACCACTTAACAAAGTTATTGTACTGTTTAGTACTTTTAGGGCATGTCGAAGAGATGAAGTTGTGTCATTTACAACTATGATCCAGAAACCACGACCAACGGAGAGCTAGTTACACTAAATTTCACAAAAAATAAAAATAAATAGGATGTTTATATTACTCAAAGACGGTCATTACAGAAATCCGAAGTGCACTTAACAAATTGTGTGTACAATAGGAGACACAAAAAATATGGGGTAGTGCAATAGCACTCTTTAATTTGACGTTAAGTTAATTTTTTTTGTATTTTTATGTTTTTTTCTAAAATTATACAAATGTATTTTTTGGAAGATCTCTCACGCCGTTAATATGCACATTTCCACCAACTTGTAAACACTATTGTATTTGTGCGTTAAATGACTTCTAATAAAGTTTTTCGAAAACTCAAATTTTTTTCACTATTGTAATGTACGTCGAATAACTTCTCATCAAGTTTTTCGAAAACTCCAAATTGTTCTTCGAAAAAGAGCTTCAAATGTCTAATATACAGAAGTGCTTAAACGCCATTTTCATAAAAAAAGCTCCATTTTTTTGGTTTTTTTTTAAAGCCATTTAGGTCGTGGTTTTACTGTTGATTAATGTTCATAAAATAATATTTTCGTTCTTGGGCGGCGATAGATGGTAGCTGGCAAGACTATGTAGCTAGCCGAGACCAAAGGAAATTGAAAACTAATACGGGAAAGTCTGTGTCATTTGTAGCACCACTAGTTAGGTTTTAAAAAGCGTTTTAGGTGCCTAAAATAGGTTCTTTCAGCATGTCAGTAAGTCTTTTTAAATGACGGAATAAGCACAAGTAAAACAGTAAAAATACATAAAACACAAATTTGAACTATTTATTGTATATATTTTTCAAAGATAAAAACATAAATCAATATTGTATAGAATCAGTATTGCATATTCTGCAGTAATACTGTTTACGAACAAGTTTAATCGTTTGTGCTCCAGCTACAATTATTCATACAGTAGTTAGCCTCACAAAAAATTACTAATAATTTCACCAAGTTTTCAAGAAAACAATGAATGTCTCTTATCGGGCAAGATCAGTTTATACGCCGTCAGTTCTACGTCAACAGAAGTGATAGTTGCAAACATCAATCTCGGCACGTGTTCAAATCAACACATGAACGTGTCTTCTAAATCCAACAACTCGATTTTCTCTACACATTTCACGCTGAAGGTGGTAGGAAAAATCAACAAGCAGAGATAAATGTTAACCTATGTAATATGATCCATCCAACCACAACGATTTTCTTTCGAGGAAATTCAACGGCCTTATCATAGAACCTGAGCCAGGCTTTTCCACAAGTCAGGACGTAGCAGCATGGAAACTCATCGCACGATCATTATCCTATATATTCATTTCTCGCTACCTTACAGATTAATGCAATTTAATTTAAATATATTCTTGAGTAGTATTGGTTACTTACAACACAGGCAGACATGAGTGAAATAGTTAAAAGAAATTCTAACCATTGTGTTAAGTAAAAACATCTTTAAATATTATAATCTATATTATTTATAATATTAATTAATTTTAATTAAGTTAATACTCAGCGGTTTGCAGACGCACAACTATTAATACTACAACCGCAACTTTGGTGAGTGAGTACGAAGCTTCCGGTAGTGTGGGGTACAACTAGACTTCATTCTCGGCATAGATGCAGAGGCAAGGCTGAATGTTTTTGAAACACGACGGAATCTAAACGATTTAAAATTTATTTTATTGGGTGTAATAAAATGACGAATGTGTATGTAAATCGATATTTTTTTTAAAATTAACACCGAATTGGAGTGATTCACTTCCGCCGGTTTTCTCACGCACCTCTCACATTCTCCGATATAAAATAAAGTGGTTTATGACATACAATCAGGTGGGACCCGGGTTTCCAATCGGAAGCTTCAATACCAAAAAATTAAGTCAAAACGAAGCTCACGATTAGATGACTGTGTCCAGCTGGTTGTAAGTTGAAAGCCTCTATATTTAAATCAAAATATAGTCACGTGATCGCCGCAGCTATTGGTCTTTTGGTCTTGCGGTGTCCTTGTGGAGTCCTGTCAGCGGCACTTTTGTGTCGCAGTTTCCAAAGTGATTTAGTGAGCATCATTATGTTCCGTATTAATCAGCACGTCAGAATTGTTGAAGTACATTCTGATACGGACTCCTCAAATTCTTCATGCAGCAGCGAAAGATTAGGACAGGTAATTCTCCAAAGGACAACTCTCATACCTGTCAGCGAGAAAAAAACTTCAATTTCTGTTTTGATATATTGTGAACTTTTTTTTAATTTTAATGTTTATGTACAACAATTGCACGAATCTATTAGATAATTTTTTAATATTCTATCTTTAATGTTATAATAAAACTGGTGCAACTAATGAAATATAACGATCTGAAATATGACACCATAAAATTGGTCATGTTTAGTTTCGTATTTATTGATGCAGTAGATTTCAATTGCTCTCTGAAAAACAATTCCTTTTTGTGTTCAACTGAAATATAAATACTGCCTATAGATATGTTAAATGTATTCTCTTACACAAATAGCTCCAGTAACTTCATTTTAGTAAATGATACCTCATCCACATAAGCTTTAGCCCTTATATTATATTGTATTTTCAATTTTCTTCTTTTTTTATTACAAGATTTTAAAATTTTGTGAATTTTAAGAAATCCTTTTTATATTTCTTTTTCATCTCAAAACTTACTGATACCTCTGTTTATTTTTACCTACAAATTGGAATATTATTAACACTATTATTATTATTATTATTATTATTATTATTATTATTATTATTATCATCATCATTATCATCATCATCAATGCATCTTTTAATTTATATCCGGAAGCAGTATATTTCCCCCCCACTTTTTTTAGCTGAACTAACTCATTTCTTTTCTAGCGAGTTCAAAATTTCATTTTGCTCATTGAATGTACATTCAAGGGTTTTATTTTATAATCTGAGATATTGTATTTTTTATTGTTTTATAGTAAATAAATTGATATGTTTATTGATCAATAATGCTACTTGAAATTTACATAGATGAATTAACTTTACATAGACGAATTAAAAATTTACTTAAATTGTAAATAAACATAATTACTGGCAATATTAGGCTGGGTATGAATTGATGGGGGACAATGTTGGGGATCCCCCCCTGGAGAGTTGGATGCCCTGTTGATGAAGTATTCATGTCTCCTTGCTAGTGATATAATTAATCCGTATTAGAATAATTCTTCAATCAGGCCATCCTGAACTTTTGTATGTGCCTAGTGGAGAAAATTGCCGATTCACACCCTGATAATAGGAAATATACTTATTAGTTTTTGAACTAGGTCATTATGAAATTGAATTTGATTTACGAAAAAGAGAAAACAGCTAGTCATTCATTTACTCAGTAAATATTCAAAACCTTTTTGTACTTTTTGTGGCTTGAGAAAAATGTTGGGATCTGCTGGTTTAGATCAGTCTTTCAGTAAATTGGCAAAAATTGTGTCCTACAGTGTGTATTCGCAGCAACACCTTGCTGGTGAGAGTCCTAGCAACAGAAATAATGTTGGTAGTACGTGCTGCAGCTTGTAAAAAAGGAAAATTAAATTGTTTACTTACCACAATTATAACAATGCTGGAAGTGTTTTCCCTTCACTTGTTTTCCAGTGATTTGGTTGCTACCAACATAAATGCAATTTTTAATAGGTGCGGGGAGACTTCCCTGGGGTACTGTTCTAGAATACATGATATTATTGTTTGATAATAATTATTTTTCTTACAATTTTAAATGCTTCTTAACTGGATCATAGTTCTGATTTCCACTCAGTTTTATGAATTTTATTATCTATTTCCCCTCTATCGCAAAACTCTTTTAGACAAAATAAAGTCTTGATCATACACTCTGGTTGAAACATGTTATGATGCCTCATGCTTTACTTAATTTAGAGCATCCAAAAATATATGACAACAAATTTGCCATTATAGTTCTCAAGAAATTATTTTGGTGGAAAAATGCAGGTGTGCCCAAGAAAGTAAGAATGCTAATATTTACAAGTGAAGAAACAAGTTAATTAAATGAAGAGGGAGAACAATACACAATTTTTTTTACTTATAAAATGTATGCCTGAGATATCTTGATTAAAATTCCTAAACATTGATTATTGCCTTGAGCATAACTAGGGAGTGAGGCAGAGTAGGCCATGTCTTCCCAAGGGGAAAAAAAAGACACATGTATTTATCAGATTAAAAGTGAAGGTTTTTTTATGTATTTAGTCTAAAAACAGTCAAAACTATGTATGTGACGTGTGAGGGAAAAATACTGTCTGCACATTTTGCCCAAAATATCTCGTTCGAAAAGTGTTGTCTTTTATTTGCATATTAAGCACGATTGATTGAAGGCTCTGTTTCTACACTATGTATCAATGTCCAGGAACTTGAATATAACAGTAAGTTACAAATGGGAATTCCACGTGCATCTCAAGTATCTAATTATTTTAATATTATCCTTTGTTATTATTATTATTATTATTATTATTATTATTATTATTATTATTATTATTATCATCATCATCATCATCATCAGTAGCAGTAAAATGACAATAACTTTTTAAGACAATCTTATTTTGTTGTTTCCAAATATAAAATTTTTGCAATTTTCGAAAATACCTAGATTTAAAGAAAATGTGACTTGTACTTTTCTTTTAAGCATCATTTCTTCTATCCGTAGAAAATATTAAAGAAACTATTTGTGAGAAATTGATTTATTTAGAAATTGCATAAATTTCAAGCACGAAAGGAGCAAATTTCATTAAGGATACGATCTATCTTCAATATTTTAGTTGTATGAAGATGCCGAAAATTGTTTGAATTTTTGCAGTTTTCAAAAATATCAGCAATTTCAACGAAAATAAGATCCGCACCATTCTCTTAAGCGTCCATTACGCTGATAACAAATTTATTCAAAAAAATTGGTTCAATTTTTTTTTTTTTTTAAATGTCAGAGAGGCTTATGTAAAGTACTCCCCAAAATTAAATTATCGGTTTCCAATGCTAGGGGCCGCGACATCAGCCAGATCAAGTGGGAATTTCAGTTGTGAAGAAAATCGTCTGAACGGTTCAAGTGCTTCGGCCACTAACGGACAGACGTATAGAGAGACGTTTTGCCGTCAATCGATTTGTTGGTGGAATGGAAATAAATTTACAAAAAACTGAATATATGGTGGTGGGAGGTATTTCCCATGATTTAGAGACTAGTATAGGAATAATTAAAGGTACAACACAATATAAGTATTTGGGAGTCACACTAACAGCAGATGGTAGAGACGAACGGGACATGAAAAATAAAAACATAAGAGGAAAAATAGCCACAAGACAGTTGAATCCAGTGCTATGGAACTCAATTATTTCAATGAAGACAAAGAAAAGCATATATAGCTCCTTCATAGAGAGTACCACACTCTATGGGGCAGAAGTCTGGACACTACCAAAAAAATTGAAAGACAAACTTCAATCAACAGAAATGATATTCTGACGAACATGTTGTTAACATTCTCTGTTAGATAAAATAAGAAATGATGAAATAAGAAATAAAATGAAAGTGCAAACAACCTTGAACGAGACGATCCAAATGAAACAACTAAAATAGTATGGACATATGAGAAGATCGAAATCGGATAGACTTCCACAAAAAGTTTGGGGGTGGATACCAAATCGAAGAAGATACAGGGGAAGACCGAGAAGAACATGGAACATGGCAATAACTGAAGCCATGGAAAAAAGAGAAATGGAGGAAAACGATCTATGGGATAAAGACGATCTAAGGCATGGAAATTGGGATGCGGAAAATGGCCAAGGCTGTAAAAACACTGCTAAATAGATAGATATTTTATTTATGTAACTTGAACTTTTGATTAATACATTATTTTCAATATTTTAACTTTTTATTCAGTTATTAGTCTGTATTTTATTCCAAATTTGAACATTTTTAGTTCTTATGAAAGCACATATTTATGTGCATGTAATTTCATATAAATCCTAGCCCTGGGAATTGCACTATTCTCCTAATAGCTTACGATGACTTGGGTATTAAAACTTGTGATAAAATGGCAAAATGGAGTAGTACAGGCAGAGCTGTTAATATGAAAATTGTAAATACACGTTAAACAATTTCCATGCTAATTGAAATGCTGTAGAGGAAGGAACGGGAGAAGCATTGATGTACTGGGTGTAGGGCCTACTGATATAAATTACAAAGTCACTATTTATTGTTTGTTCATTTTTTATTTGATATTACTTATTGGAGACATTCTGAGTAAATATTTACAGAGCACGGATTCAGCTCACAGCTGGGCTAGTGATAAAATTTAAACCTGGATTTGTATGCTTATGCATATTTCATTTGCTACTTGTTACTTGTACAAAAATCGCTTTTCTTTACAAATAAGCCCATTTAGAGCTTCCTTGTGAAAATTCTTTTGTATATTTTTGCTGCATAACAGAGATTCTTGAAACAAGAAAAACATTGATAATGATTACTATATTACAATTTTATGTATTTTTACTTTTATAATTCTCATGTGTGAATCAATTGAAAGAAATTATTTTAGAGAATGATAGACAAATACAAACAAATATATATGAAGTCAAATTGTCTAGGAATTGAGGAACATTAGGTTCTATATTTACCACAGTTCAAGGAACACTTAATTGTTGCCCTCGATTAATTATTAAATTCCTTTCATTTTAAAACTTGTGTGTGCCCTATTAATATAGTGATGCTGCTTGAATATGTGTCACAAAAATGTAACGTGTTGCCGGTTTGCTTCACTTCAACAGAAAATAATTTCAAATGTTTTGCTTTAATTGCCACCAAATTTCCACTTAAAGGCAAAATTAAAAACTCAAGATGTATCTTAGCGGAAAAATGTTGTTTTTATTGATGAAAAAGTTAAAGGCTCTACCGGATCAAAAGGGATTATAAGATAGATTAACTGATAATTTTTCAAAACAAGGTAGTCTCCAAGTATTGAAAAAAACTGAATCAACATCAAAAATTAATCAAAATTCTGCTGGAAGAACAATTAACTGTGAACATGCACAATGATGATAATCATTTCTGCATTCAAATATTGTCTTTCAACATTTTGGAGAGATTGTTTCAATTTTTAAAAACCATTAAATATCAGATGAATCGCCAGTCCCTAAAACATTTTCTAGATATTTCTATGGTAATTGCTTAATGAGTTTTCTTGGGTCTCAGTGACTGAAAGTGAAAAATTGAATTGTCAAAAAGAAGAAAATTAGTTTGACAAGTTTCATCAAACTGTTTACTTTGTATATGGAGTGTAAACAATTGTGGTGCCTTGAAATCAATTGTGATGCCAAAGAATTAAAATCTTTGTGATAAAGATAGGTTACCATAGGTTATAATAAAATAATGAAATTAATAAATCCATTCACAATGAACACATGATAAGTTTTTTAATGCCAAATAATTGATAAAATGTATTGTTTGGGACTTTGTGTTATTTCAGAAACTAATTATAATTTTTTTTTAAATATGTCATAATTGATCTTGTATCCAATATATTATGCCAGTAACGAAATGTATCTGTTTTTTCAGGAACTGGTCTCTGCGATAAACATTGATGACCTTCCTTATGAGCTTCTTATTGAAATATTTTCGTATCTCAGTGTGGAAGATCTTGCTCTTCATGTCAGGAAAGTAAGTAGGAAGTGGGAAGAACTTGCAGAAGACAATAGACTTTGGAAGCACTTGACATACTCTCCATCACATCGACATACAGAACTCGAAATTATTGATGTTTTGAAACAAGCACCGAAACTTCAAAGGTTTATTCCTCCATTTCACTTGTCAAGAAAGCGTTTTTTTCAAACAATTGCAGTGCACTGCAAAGACATGAGAGTATTGGCAATCAGTGCTGATGAAGATAAAGATACAGTAGAGAAACTAGTGTCTGAATGCCAAAATATGGAAAGTTTCACTGTACATTCTCATGATTTTTCAAAAACCAAAATATTACAGATAGTCAGCAAATTCCAGAATCTAAAGAATTTGAAATTAACAGGTGATATGTCTGTGAGAAATCACAATATTTTTGCTGATATCTCACTCGGATGTCCCTCTCTTGATACATTGGACCTTCAACATTTAAGTAATTACAGTAATAATAATTTAGAATTTTTTTTGAAAGAGAAAAAAGAGAAAATACTTTGTTTATATTTGGAATGTTGTCGGCCAAGAGAACCATGTTCACTTCCTATGATTTTTGAGTTGTGTACCACACTGCAACATCTGAAAGTTAGAGGACATGCAGGAACAACATCTTCAAAAGAACTTATTTCATTGAAGAAAATGAAAAACTTAAAAAGTCTTTTTATGGATCATTTTGTATATTACAAAATTAACCATCTTGCTGATTATTTGCAAACTCAATATGCTCAGAACCTAGTATGCCTAAGCTTGGGTAGATTTAGTGGCTCGGTGGAAGAGCTCAGTAATTGTATATGTATGAATTGTTGTAAATTAAAACATTTAAATCTTGGACATTGCCCAAGGCTAAGAGATGATGGCCTCAAGTTTATTGGAAATTTAAGGGATTTGAGGAAATTATATCTTGTTTCTTGTTGTTGTTTAACAGATGAAGGTGTGTCATATATAGTTAGATGCACACAGATAAGTTATTTAAACCTCAACGGCTGTGGAAATATCTCCCATGATGGTTTTGTCTTGTGTTTGGAGAATTTGAAAATGCTGAATGAACTGTGTATAGATGCTTGTAGAATGGAACCACATGCTTTACTGAGGGTCCCCCAAGAATTGAAAAACTTGAGGAAACTTAAAATCAGACATAGAGATGAAAGAGAGATGAACCATGTGATTTCAGCTCTGAGAAAAAATGTGCCATATTTACAAATTCAATAAGAACTCAGGCAAACAGGATCATTTTGTCATTCATTCTGTAATTAACACTGGGTTCATTTCATTTCTTTATAAGATTAATATATTTTGCTGGGCCAGATGTTTTTAATGTTTTACTTCATCAGAACTGAATAAAAAACAATATTGTAGTTTAAAATAGAAATTTTTCAACTTTTATTTAATTTTATTTTAATCGAGAAAGAAAATAACTTTCTATAAATTTTCATTTTAAAATACCAAAGTATTTTGTTCTATTATTTACTGATATTGTAAATACAATATTGACAATACATCATGAACACTGGGGTAGTCCATAAATTATGTAATGCTAAAGAGGAGGGGAGGGTGTCAGGTAGCTTTACGCTGCTTTACTTAAGAGACAGTATACACACATTTGTTTTATAAACTTTTAGGTTGAATTAATCATTAAATTAATAGAAAAAGTTGTACATTTATAATATAATTTAATAATAATTTTCCTAATGTACCAGAACACTGTTTCATTGTGTTCTGCTAGAAATGAAGACCTGTGTATACATACCAACCAATATATGTACATACCAATATATGTACATTATATATGATTATTATACCATATATAGTTGTCAGAAGGTCTCAATTCTCCCCCTTTTGTATTGTGTGCAGCCAACATTTTTACTGTTATATAATTTCATTTTACTTGTAAAAGGGGGTTGATGCAAAGTCTACTTTATTATTTAATGGGGATTCCAACTCAGCCCAAGTCTTTTACTTGGGGAACAGAGGTATCCTAAAGGTTCCCTGTTTGTGTTACATAATTTATGGATGACCCTACTGTTGTTTCTTTTAAGGGCTAAGTTTGAAAATGTAAATGTTATTTATACTTCAAAGAAGGTAGTTGAAAAAAAAAAAAAAAACCACACACACAGAAAATATGTATGTTTCTTTGATATAAATAAATATTTGTTTACAGTATGTGTTTAATTTTAAAGTCTTTCGAATTGAATTTGGGAAATCCTGGGGAAAATATTTCTAAATTTCAGGAAAGTTGTTTTGAGGAAAAATGGGGGAATTGCATTCCTGCATCTATTTTGCTAGCCAGGAGAAGAGTTAATTGTTCACAGAGAAAAATCTGCAAAATACCAAAAGAATCACCTTTAGGTGCACAATACTCTCCCTAGTAGGCCTTGGACACATTTTAAACTCAAGTAATGTGACATACATTGCAAATAATTCTTTACATTACAAAATTGTACAAATTTAAAAAGTTAAGAGCTTTTAATAATGAACTCACAATGAAATTGAATTTTTAATAATTAATTTTAAAGTGGAATTTGGAAGTTATTTTACTTCTGCATCATGAGTTCATAAGACATAAATAAAAAGTTCTTTTATTTTATATTAACTGTATGAAAATTATATATATCTTTCATGGTGAAAGAGCCTTTGTGGCATTTTGAAATAAGTCATGATTGCTGTAGAGTGTACTTTTAAAATTAAAATGCAATGCATCACTTATGAATACGATGTAGGGCTTGACTGTCTGATTACTTCAGTTTTTTTCTTATTTTTCTTCTTGGTAGGTGTTTAGGGGAAGTTCCACTTTTGGCATCATAAGAGGGACACACCATGTTTGGCATTGTGGGTTATATAATATTTTATTGTACAATCAATAAAATTTACAAGTAAATGAAAACAATTTTCAGTTCAATTTCTCTCATGAAAAAGTACATTGATAGAAAAATAATGGAGCTTCTTTTAATAGGTGAAGCAAATGAATATTGTTCCTATATATCTTTTCTTTTCCTCACTTTTCCTACAACTCCAGGTGATTTATCAACCTTCTTCTTCAAGAGATGATCAGCGGTTTTGTCAACTTTACTCTTGAAGAGAGGTTCGGCCGATTTGTTCTTTTGGAGAGGCTCCGTCAACTTGTGGCCTCTGTTCTTCGAGGGCTGCTCGGTGGGCTTGTCCGTTCTACTCTTGAAGAAGTTCTCGGCGTGTTTGCCGACTTCCTGGACGAGCTTGTCGATCTTCTCGATGACTTTACTCACCCGCCCGATGGAACTCCCGATGTCGGCCGTGCTGCCGCCCCGCGCCGCCGCCGCGCCGTCCTTGGGCTTGCCGGGCTGCTCGGCGGGTTTGCCGATTTGCTCCGCCGACTTGGCCCCGCGCTTGGCGGGCTTCGCTGCCTTGCCCGTCGATTTACGGCTCTGGGCCGCCGGCTTGGCGACTTGGACGCTCGAGCTGGGGTAGTACTTCAAATCCTCCTCTTGGATTATCGTGTTTTCCTTATCCTGGAAAGTACGTAATAAATGAAATAAGTGCCTGTTTTGTAATGAGGCTCAGGCCATTCGGCGTGTTTTCTGACCACTTTAAAAAAATTGTGAGACAAATAAATAAATAAAAAATAAAATAAAAATGGGAGGGCACTTAGTCGACGAAACTATAGTATGTCCAGAGTGCTAGCTTTGAGAAAACTTAAAGCACTACCCACCGGGAGGCTCAGAGCATTAACTGATGTCACTGCATTGCCTCTGACGGCTGTAGGTTCGAGTGCCGACGGTGGCAGGATTTTCGGTATTAGCCAGATAGCTAGGTCGAGTTTTGTCGGTGTCTGGAGGAGAATTATAGTGGCCGGCTGCTCTTATAGGTTGTTTTCTGTGGTTTCTCCGATCAATACCAGACGAATACCGGTGTCGTATCCTAAAAAAAATGCGTCACGGACCGCCCGCGATCTTTCCCTCTTCCTTTTCCTATCCTCATTCCTTACATATAAACACATATGCACTATTCTATCACCCATCCCTGGAGAACGGCAGGGAGCGTAGAGCTTCTTCCAGCTGGACCGGGCAGTGCCCCACTGGTGGGAGATAGCTGGTTGTGGAAAACCCCGCTAACTGGCAGTAGGTGTGCGCCGGATCTCGCCATCCAGCGGGGTAAAATTACGTCACATCCAGGGAAAATTACACGAACTACACTTATGGGACTAATAACCTTATTTGATGACTCACCTGGCAATAATTTAAACCTAGCTTTACCGGGAGACGGAGTTGCAGAGGGCCAACGGATTTTTTTGGACGCTGCTATTTTTTTCAGAACGCTGGAAATAATTGATCTCAAAATATCATGCAAGTTTTCTAAAGTATTTCCAAGAATTTCAATTATTGCAGCGTGCTTTGATGTAAACAAATTTGGACTATTCACTCAAAAACTGATAGATTTATAATATACTTTTGAAATATAAGTCTTACTAATGTATTAAACTATATTTTATTAAGTTGTAAAGAGCCATCGACCTTTGGTGGTCTTAAAAATACGTTTTGTCATTAATGCAGTTGCGAAACATTTTTATTTTCTCGTATACGTAGAGGTAAAGGTGGTAATAAGAACCCCCTTCGTATCTGTTCATACATCACAAACATTCTAGCAGGAACGATTTTGAGTACTAGTTTAGTAATTCGTTTTGCCAACATAGTTTTGTGGTTCAGCTGTGCATGAGAGCTGATGTGTAACAGAGATGTTCGTATTTTCGCGGTTCTAAAAACTTTGGAAAGTAAGTCTTTGGCTTTGAGTTCACTGAAACCGATTCGAATTCCTAAACGAATGAAATACAATATGTTTTAAACTTTGTTTATATGACCGCAATCTGTAATTTCGAACGTAACGAAGACCAATTTTGGTTTGGAGAACTTTAATACGGTGAGTGTTGTAAAATGAGTCTCGAACTATGGTGGATATACAAGCACCGCACTTAAAGTGGTTCATGATACATTCACTACGACTTGTGTTCGTATTTTTGTTTTGTTTTAAATGTCAATAAAGGATATAGGCTCAGAACGAAAAGGAAAAACTAGAATACTGAACACATGGTTAAGGCAAGGAGTTAGGAAATGCATTTGAAAAATGCTTCCATAACGTTTCTCGAACTAAGACCTAATTTTCATTGGCTTGTTCGTGTAGAAACAGTTTTAGCTAAATTAGGAAGAAAACCTATATTGGGAGAGGTGCTGAGAAAAAGTGACGACTATTTACTTGTCATGGGAAGTAAATTCTGCGGTCTCAATAGAGAAGATTTTCGCAAAGTAGCGTACCAATTTAGTGAAAGAATTGGAAGGAAACATCTATCTGCATAAGATACATAAGCTGGTTGGAAGCGCATCGACCATTTTATGAATGGCCTTAAACATGTTTTAGCTTCAAAGGCACCCCTTTTTTACATCATCTCCTTGCAAGGAGACTCTTATGACGTTTGGAGAAAAAATATCATATTCCTGCAGATATAAAATATGTAACGATGGAAAGGCATGGACAGAACAGCCTGGTAAGAAAAAAACCGCCCATGAGCAAAGATCGCACGGGGTCTGTTCTTCGAGCGGCTGCTCGGTTGGGCTGGGCCGTCTACCTTGAAGAAGTTCTCGGCGTGTTTGCCGACTTCCTGGACGAGCTTGTCGATCTTCTCGATTGACTTTACTCACCCGCCCGATGGAACTCCCGATGTCGCCGTGCTGGCCGCCCCCGCGGCCCGCCGCCGCCCGCCGTCCTTGGCTTTGCCGGGCTGCTCGGCGGGTTTGCGATTTGCTCCGCCGACTGGCCCCGCGCTTGGCGGGCTTCGCTGCCTTGCCCGTCGATTACCGGCTCATGGGCGCCGGCTTGGCGACTTGGACGCTCGAGCTGGGGTAGTACTTCAAATCCTCCTCTTGGATTATCGTGTTTTCCTTATCCTGGAAAGTAACGTAATAAATGAAATAAGTGCCTGTTTTGTAAGAGGCTCAGCGCCATTCGGCTGTGTTTTTCTGACCACTTTTAAAAAAATTGTGAGACAAAAAATAAATAAAAAATAAAATAAAAATGGGAGCGCACTTTAGTCGACGAAACTATAGTATGTCCAGAGTTGCTAAGCTTTGAGAAAACTTAAAGCACTACCCACCGGGACGCTCAGAGCATTAACTGATGTCAACTGCATTGCCTCTGACGGCTTGTAGGTTCGAGTGCCCGACGGTGGCAGGATTTTTCGGTTATTAGCCAGATAGCTAGGTCGAGTTTTGTCGGTGTCGGAGAGAATTATAGTGGCCGGCGTGCTTATAGCGTTGTTTTCTGGGTTTCTCCGATCAATACCAGACGAATACCCGGTTTTGTCGTATCCTAAAAAAAATGCGTCACGGGACCGCCCGCGATCTTTCCCTCTTCCTTTTCCTATGCCTCATTCCTTACATATAAACACATATGCACTATTCTATCAACCCATCCCTGGAGAAACGGCAGGGAGCAGTAGAGCTTCTTCCAGCTGGGAAACCGGGCAGGCCCCACTGGTGGGAGATAGCTGGTGTGAAAACCCCGCGTAACTGCAGTAGGTGTGCGCCGGATCCTCGCCATCCAGCGGGGTAAAATTTACGTCACATCCAGGGAAAATTACACGAACTACACTTATGGACTAATACCTTATTTGATGACCTCACCTGGCAATAATTTAAACCTAGCTTACCGGGAGACGGAGTTGCAGAGCGAGCCAAAACGGATTTTTTTGGACGCTGCTATTTTTTTTCAGAACGCTGGAAATAATTGATCTCAAAATATTCATGCAAGTCTTTTCTAATAGTTATTTCCAAGAATTTCAAATATTGGCAGCGTGGCTTTGATGTAAAACAAATTTGGACTAATTCACTCAAAAACTGATAATTTATAATATTACTTTTGAAATATAAGTCTTACTAATGTATTAAACTATATTTTATTAAGTTTGTAAAGAGCCATCGACCTATTGCGTGCGCTCTTAAAAATACGTTTTGTCATTAATTGCAGTTTGCGAAACATTTATTTTCTGGTATACGTAGAGGTAAGGTGTAATAAGAAACCCCCTTCGTATCTGTTCATACATCAACAAACATTCCTAGCAGAACGATTTTGCAGTACTAGTGTATAATTCGTTTTGCCAACATAGTTTGTGCGT